TTATTATATGATTAAAAACTTCATTCTCTTCATAAAATATGTAAATTGGAAATAAAACTCGACATGTTTCAAGCGCTCAAGAACAGACGCCCATTTTCAAGACTTGCCGGACGGGATTGAGAAGAAACAGTGATTTGAAATAGAAAACGAAAGTGGCCAACAGAAAAGAGAAGAATAAAGGTGAGAAATAAAAATAGAAAAACCCCAGTAGACGAGAGAGAAAAAGATGAAATACAGAAAAAGAAAAATCATCGAGAGGGGCAAATCGGGGTAAAATGCAATTTCATGAGCTACGGAAAGGTGGTGAGGAACTAATATCATTCACAATCAAATCAGCATTCATATATGAATATTACATACATTTAAAATCACTTTCGTTTTTTCTTATTTACATCTGGAGAGCCCTGAAAATGGGCGCATGTTATTGAGCACTTGAAACATATCGACTGTTATTTCCTATTATAATGCTACTATAAAACAGCTTGCATTTTTAAAATTAAGTTTTTTTAATCATTTGAAACTTTAAATTTTTTTTTTTTTTGAAACTGGTCGCACGTTATAAAAATTGGGCAGAGACTTTCTTTTCTGTTTTAAGATAAGAACCTTTCTTTAAAAAGAACTCTAGAGAGGGACTCTACTAACCCTTTCCCTTACTCGGGTAAGTTTTAAAAATGTCTTCTATCGCGTCACTTCGAGCAATTATTTCGAAAAAATTTTTGATATAGAATTAAGTCATTTTGAAAACATTCAACGTTTCTTTACCATAATATTTACTTCTTTAAATGTTCATTTCCTGGCAATTATTTTTGTTCTGGTAAATCAAAGGAGAAGGGGAAAAAAATGGCATTGCTACTTTCATCAATGAGAAATATGGAACAGTGCCGATTTACTTTACTCTAATCTTTCATAAATGTGTGACCTTTTATTTTGACATACATTAAAACCATTTTGAAAATTCATGTTAGACGAATCTTTTAACAGAAAAAAGTAAATACCCCGGATTATACTTAATTCAAAAATATAATAATCTCGATTATTTTACTTGCGAAACAGTGAGATCAACAAGGAAGTGAGGGCTTTCATCAGAGTTATAATGCAGTTTGACCGCTGGATTTTCTAATGTAACATTTCTAGAATACATTGTAAACAACAACTATGACCAAACAATGAATAAGTGAAATATTAAACGAGAAAAATAAAAACTCTTTTCGTGGTTCGTTCGGTGACTAAAATATGCGATTAACATTTTTTTGTTAACACCTCAATAGTTATTACTTATTCAGGGCCAGCGCTAAGGATTTTAAATTATTAGCCCGTAAATTAGCCAAATATCAAAAGTTTTTGCCAATTTTTGAAAGTCTTCGCCAAATGTAAATCTTAACAATTTTTTATGATTCATTTTTTCTCATAGAATTACTTAACGGGGTTTAATCTGTATTTTACGGTAGTTAGTTTTAGGCTTATATTATTTGGACCCAATTATAATTGGTTAAGTGGCGCATCTACCGAAAATTACTGTAATTGAATAAAAAATACTGATTTGTTTAGAAAAACTCATTTTGACGTAATTTCGATGATCGAGTTAAATATATGTTTATATATGTTTCTTTCCAGTGGAATTAATCATTCGCCAATACTTTCAAAACACATTTTTATTTGCTAAATGTATGATTTTATCGCATTCAACGAGATGGCGTATGCTTAACGCGGACCCAGCTTATTTGTGTAGATATCTAGTAAAAAAGTATTAAATAATCAATTTAAAATGTTCTATAGTTATAACCCAGCTGTTCCCCCCCCCTTTTTTTTAAATCCTAAACATTTGAATTTCTTTTGGGGGGGGTGCAGAAGGGACACCAGTGTTCCATCTGCATTCTTTCGATGCAGATGGGACACTGGTGTCCCTTTTGTACATATTATTTCTGACCGTCTAATTAATTACAAGCAAAATATATTTTGGTATATTTTTTAATTATAAAAAAAAACAATAGAATAATAACTAAAAATATGTTAGATTATCAGAATTATATTTGTACTAAAATATAAAATCTAAGAAAAGTTGTTTGAAATTTTTTTTTATCAAAGTGGCAAATCAGTCTGATCAAAGTGGTCATCCACCCGCATACTGACCGCAGCGAGTGATACTTGACTTCGGTGATTTGCTGGGAATCGCGTTTTAGCAATCAGTCCACCCTAAATCAAGATTCAAAATTAAACAATCGGATGTTTTAGGTATTTATTACCTAATCTAATTATTATCTGCTATAATTTACTAATAATTATCTATTATTAGTAATTATCTTTACGGATCTAAATTATTTTAAGCTGCATTGTTTCACCAAAAGTAATCTTTAAATTAGAACCATATTTATTAAATAAACGTGTCAAGCACTTAAATGAAAACATATACTATGGACCGTGTTAAAGCATGACATAGTAAACTTCCAGGATTAAGAATGAAATGTTTTCAATAAAATGCCCCTCTTAAATAACAAGAGACGATCAGGCAGATCTATCAAATGACTTAACTATTACCTTCTAAAACATTTGTAACAAAGATAATGCTATATTGTTTATCTTTAAATTGATGTTTGTCAATAATAGTATACAATTATGAACAAAACATGTTATTTCTCTAGTCTAAACTGTTTACTGACCAAGTTTCAATGCATTGATCAATTAGGCAAGGAGTCTTACAATTGAAAGATTATTCAAATTCTAAATTGTAATATTAACCCTTTGAAGCAGATGGGACACCGGTGTCCTTTCCAGATATTTTTTTCTGACGTTCTAATTTCAAGTAAAAATATATTTTGGTATTTTTCAGTTTTAAAAAAAGGTGAAATTACAAAATAGTGACAGTTAATAAAAAAACAGTGACAGTTACTAAAAAAATCTGTTAGACTATCGGAATTATATTTGTTCTAAAATATAAAATCCAAAAAAATTTGTTTGAATTTTTTTCATTCATATTCAAAAATTTATCAATAATTTATTTTGTAAACTAAGGAAATTTCAACGAGGAATATCTATTTCTCTTAGATCTAAATAACTTTAGGAAAGTGCACATTAAAAAATTATAGTTTAGAAGTGAGCCGCGTTTGGAATATTTTACCTTTAATGCAGAAAAGGACACCTGCGTTTCGTGCTGTATTTCATTACCATCAATTATCAAAATACTAAGTATAATATTTTTCACTTATCTTAAACTAAATTTAAATTAATATAAAATAAGGAAAAAAAGGTGTGAAAATCTGTTTAACAAAAATCCTGCCAGCGTCAAATGCATAACAGCTTTGAATATACGAACTGTTAAAAAAATAATACTAATAATAAAAATAATATTTAATATGAAAGATGAGATATTTTATGTTATAGATCTGTTCTTGGCGAATGCATACGTTGGAAATAAACAAAATCAGTTGAATTATGCTTTAAAAAATAACTGTTATAAACGCTGAAAATATCTATCAGAGAATTTTTAAATCATTTTAAAGTAATTTTTTTTACATGGCAAAATACAATCGGTTGAATAGTTTCTGAGAAATAAAATTTTAAACATACGACTTTTTCAAAATTGGATTTCTCAGGAACTATTGAACTGATTTCACTCAAATTTTGTATTTTTCCATGTAAAAGTATATACTTAAAAATTATATAAAAAATTATATACCTTACAATTCAAAATTTTTTCGACTATTGTTAAATAAAATAATAATAAAATTTGTTAAATAAAATTTAGTTTTTGCATGAGGTTATCTTTGGATAAACGAGTCTTGTAATTGTGTGCAAATATTTTTCAATTCGTTTAAAAATGCCTCAAGATATAGCGAAATATGCAAGAAATAAAAGGTAATGTTATGAGGTTCAAACTTGTGATCGCTCTCCTGATCAAACTATGGGGACCATATTTCCAAGATTGCTGTTGCTCCTATATTTTGGGGATCGGAAATCTGATTCCGATGAAATAAGGTATGTATATTTATACAGAGAAAGTGCGTTTTTGTGTCCGATTTTGTAACTTAAAATAACGTCTGCACTAATATATTTGAGGTCACTTCCTCGAACCCCTAAGATTGAGTACTAGAACGTGAAGATCCGATAATTAGATGATAAATTATTCAAGGTGTCTGTTTTTTTTTTTTTTTTTTTTTTTTTTTTTTTTTTTTTTTTTTTTTTTTTTGTGCACAGCACGTACAGGAGTTTTTGACTTACTATTCCGATTGTACATACGGAAATAAGGAGTAAAGTAGGCTTAAACACTGACCGTTTTAAGATAATTGGTATTTCCAAATTTTTATTTATCGTCTCAAAAAATAACAAAAAAAAATTTAAAAAAAAACATGCGTGAACGATCCAAACATAGTCCACTGAAAAGAAAAGACCCCTGATATTTCCTTGAAATGTAAACACAAATGTTTTTCACATCCAACAAAAATCAAGTGTGAAAGAATTTTAGAACACTTTTCCCTTAAAAGAATATTAATATTTCCTGAAATTTCCAGGAAATTGATATTACATAAACTCAAATGTTTTTTACGTCTCACAAAAATCAAGAGTGAAATATTTTTAGAGCACTCCACATCGAAAAGATTAGTGATATTTCCTATAAATGTAAACACAAAAGTTTTTACATCTCACAAATATCAATTGTCAACTATTCATATTCCCTAGAAATGTAAACGCAAATGTTTTTCACATCTCACAAAAATCAAGTGTGAAAGATTTTCCTAGAAATGCAGTTTCTTAGATTTCATAGAAAGGTAAACACAAATGTATTTTTTTTTTTACACTTCACAAAAATCAGGTGTGAAAGATTTTTAAAACACTGTCCACTAAAAAGACTCTTGATATTCCGTAGAAAACGAATTAATTGGGAAAGAAGAAAAAAAGGTAGTAACTTCATCCGTAATTATTCGGCTGGGCACCATTTTTTTCTACCTTTTAATTTTGTTTTTCGCCTTGAGCACATTCAACTTAAAGCGAAATCTTCCATAACTAGGTTACAGAATCTCTGAGGGATCTTCATCTGCTGTCGGCCACTAGATTCACAACAACTCTCGACTTGAGAAGAAAAAGTTAATTGATTCGCTCTTGGAATTCACAATATCCAACTGACAGGTGAGTCTTTTTGTTTTTATTTCAAAAGTGAAAAATTTTTTTAAAAATTAAATTCAATTTATTAAATCTTGTTCGTAAATACTGTCTTTGGTATTTGTGGAATAAACAGTTTTTGTTAAATAATTAGTTGTTCTAATGCAATTTAAAATACGTTTTATAAATTTTATTCCTAGTCAATAGTCATTATTTATTACTTATTTTTATTGTAATTGCTTAAATTTAATTTTTGTTTAAGCAATAAATTTAATTTATTTACATTTAAGTTTATTGCTAATTTTATTGTTTACTATTTTTTTTCTTAAAAATCAATCGATAATTTATTATAGATTAAATTTGAATAAATTGTTTGATTTTTTGAATTCAAAATTACAATTTTAAGTAATTATGCAATTTGCTTTAACTAATTTAATTTATATAAATTAACCTACAAGAAAACGTGAATAGTTAATTTTAACTGAACTACTAAACTGAAAATAATAGTCTGTTTATCATTTCAAAGAAGAAAAAAAGTGTTTCTTCAGAAAAATTTATTCTCAAGATTTTTTAACACAGAAAGCATTGTAGCGTCATTATAAATAATTTCTTCAAATTACCCTCCTCTTCCCTTTATTAGAGGGATAACGAAGGTTATTTGGTTAGAGAACTGTATATCATTTAAGCAGGAAAGTGAGGTATAGTTTTTGATGACTTTTTTATGCTGAATAACGTAAGACAAATCACAAGACAATAAAGACCAAATAGTCCAGAAATTAATAGGGTTATATATCCAAAAATTGGAATTTTGTACTGCCACTTTTTTTACCTATCTTACATTGCTATACAGACAAGTGAGGTATTGATTCCTTTGTACTTTTTCTCGTTTAATCGAAAGAGACAAACTAGTATCAAAGGGGCTAACAATTCAAAAGTTAAAATAATTTTTTGTATAAAATGTACAATTTTTGAACTGCTCTTATTACCTTATCACTTCTCTTACCTTTATAACTTCAAAACTATTTATCTTCTGAACTCGATTCTTATCTTATTCAATTCAGTATAAAGATTTTCATCGGAAAATGTACCTCACTTGTTCAGAGTCCCTAAATGTATAATCATGTGTGTGTGTAAAAATCATGTGTGTACCTAGTGTGTAAAAATCATGTGTGTACCTAGTGTGTATAAATCAAGTCAAAGATAATACAATTTACACATGAAAACACTTACGACTTTTGAATTATTCGTTCTCGTATATAGCTTTATTCGACTCAGCTTAAAAAACACATAATTAATGTCTCATTTTCTCAGATACTTATATTAGATGAGTCATTTGATGCAAGTACAAATTTGTACTTTATGTACTATATACCTATGTACTATGCTTATAACTATTCATCCGATCGTCTTATTTAATTAAGCGTGAAAAACAAATCAGAAACAATGCCTCACTTGCCTGTTTAGAAGAAATTGAATTCTCACCCTCAAATCACCCCCATTTCCCTAAAAAAAAAGGGGGGGAAGCATAACAGAGGAGAGTAGGGAGTTTTAAAGTATCATTTATTCCAAATTTCTATGGAAAACAGTTTGCGTCTTAAATTTTCAGAAGAAAAAGTCTAATGATACTAAATTATACATAAAATTGTTTTATTTTTATTTATTCATTTTCTTGGTTTGCAATGAAGCATGTTAAATTTGCCAGCATTGTGTGCCAACATCAGGTGTATGTTCCAAATTGGTTTCTTTATTATTATTATTAAATACAAACTTTACAAAATTTCTAAACAGAAATTACGTAAAAATATATTGCTAATTCCCTTAGCATTGCATATTGATTTATTGTTATGCGAAATCACCAAATAAAAAAAAGAAAGCGGTAATATCTTCGCGTTTAGGTTAAGTGAGCATTTTTTTCTGTTAGCTATGAAGACAAATGTTTACAATTAAATAATTAGATTACCTGAGAATGTACAGGAAAATGGAATATTGAAATTTTGTAGGTAAATGCCTGAGTATTATTTAGTTAGTTTATTGAGTTAGTTTAATTAATTTTTACTATTTTAACTAAGCTTAGCATTAGACATGGGTGATGGAAATAATTTTGATTAATTGGTAATTGTTGTAATATTTGATAAATATAAATTGAAAATCAGCTTTAAATTAATTTTATAATAAATTAATTTTTGTTCTTTAAAAATGAAGCGTTATATTTGATGACTGAAATTTATTATCGTTTGAAACTACACGAGAATTAAATGAAAATAGAACTTACTTTTTAATAATACAAATAAATAGAATCTCAAAATTTTCAAATTTTAGTTAGAGTTAACCATTACAAAACAGTAAAATGTTCGCAGTAGTTTATTTCAGTAGTAGTTTCTCACATTCAACTTCAGTCAGTAGTTTATTCATTTTTTAGATTGTTAATCTAAAAAATGAAAACTCTTTTTAACTGTTAGCAACTCAGTGCCCAAAATTGATGAAAAAATGTCAACTATGTACACTGCTAATTAAATTTTGCTTAGAAGTAACCATGTGGTAATAGTTAAAATAATTTTGATTGTTTTCTAATTGTCGCAACATTCGATTATTGTAAATAGCCCAATTTACTATTATTCTGATATTAATTAATTTCTCTTTTAAAATTATCGAACGTTACATTTAATGGCTGGAATTTATAATCGTTTGCAATTACTTGATGTGTTAAAATTAAAATAGAACTTATTTTTGTATATTGCAGATATTTAGAATTTCAAAACTGTTTGTTTCTTAATTGAATTTAACCATTACATGAATATAAAATTCCCACAGTGTTTTTTGATGATTTATAATTAAATTGTTTCAGAATTTCATTAAAAAATACCTTAATTAATAATAATTAGAAAATATAACTTACTTTTGCATGTCACAGATATTTAGAACTTCAAAACTGTTTGTTTCTGAATTGAATTTAACCATTACATGAATATAACATGCCCACAGTGGTTCGTTTGCTGATATATAATTAAATTGTTTTAACATTTTATTAAAAAAAATATCCTAATTAATAGGAGCTTAGTAATTTCAGAATTGATAAAAAATTTAGAAGGAGAAGACAAACAAGATTAAGAAAGATAACGATTTCCTTAATAACACCAAATACTTTTGTAAATTAGATAGTTTCAAATGAGCGTTCTTTTTCTACTCTGCTATATGTGTTACATATTAGTAGAGGGATAACTTTAGGCAAAAATAATTGATTTTAGTGCACATTAATAAAATTAAGAAAAAATTAATTTTACGTGACTATACTTAAGTGTTGTTAATTAAATATGAATAAATTTTTAAAACCATAGTTCATAAATATAATTATAATATAAATAATCAGGCCATTAATTATAGAATTTAAACAATTTTTAAATTGATTGGTTTTTACTTCGATACTTTTAAATTAATTAATCATATAAATTAACCGATTTAAACATTAAACCCTCATTCTTATTTAAAAATGCCATAAATACTTACTTACAAAACTCATTTGTCTTATCACGAATCAGACATTTCTCATAATAAAAATAAAATTAATTAAAAAATAAAATTAATTAAAAAATAAAATTGAGGAATATAAATAATAAAAAATTTAAATTTAATAATATTCAAGTTAAAACTTGAACGTAAAATGCCGGTGGTGCAGACGGTACAATTAGCTGAAATTCAGTGATCGGCATGCATTGTTATAAAATTTTAAAGTGGCAGCCATTCAATGTTTAAATATAAAAATATATAAGCTTTAGCTCTTATTTTAGTTTTAAAAAAAATAATACAGTTGTCAATTTAAAAGTTAAATTTAATTACTCAGATCACTAACTTTTACAAATTATCAAAATGACAAATACCAACTGTAGCAGCGAGCTACAAAAGAATTTAAATGTAGTAACCAATTTACTTTAAACTAGCAAATAAAAGTTCAATATTTCCCAAACTTTCGATCTCTTTTCTGACTATACTGTTAGTATTACATTTTTCAGATTGCTACTTCATCTTGTATTTTGAGGGTTGAAGGTATAAAATCATTAAATGATTTGATACTTTCAAATAAGGTACGTTTTATTCAAAGGAAACACATTTTAAGGGTCTGATTTTGCAATTTAAATATCGTCTGTCCTAATTAATAACAAATATGAAGTTGAACCAAAAAAAAAAATAGAATTGTATGCTAATACGTAAAAATTGCATCATTTTTTAGATTGCTAATATATCTTGTATTTTGAGGGTTGAAGGTATCAAATCATTAAATGATTTGATACTTTCAAATAAGGTACGTTTTATTCAAAGGAAACACATTTTAAGGATCTGATTTTGTAATTTAAAATATCATTTGTCCTAATTAATAACAAATATGAAGTTGAACCAGAAATTTTTTTTTTATGTTAATACGTAAATATTGCTTCATTTTTCAGACTGCTAATACATCTTGTATTTTGAGGGTAAGGGATTCGATACTTTCATACAAAGTACGTTTATTCAGAGAAAACACGTTTTAAGGGTCTGATTTTGCAATTTTAATTATCGCGTGCCTTAATTAATAACAAATATAAAGTTAAACCAATAAATAACATTGCATGTTAATACGTAAAAATTACATCATTAAATAAAAATATATTCAGTTTTCCTGTTATTTATTTTGCGATCCTTTCATTTACATTTTTCCTTTAATTTTTATATATTAATGAAACGGCCGATTAATTTTCTTGATTGAAAGTTTTTCTTGATTAAAAGTTTTAGATGGGCATGAGACCAAGAGTTGATTTTAAATTCATTTTTCCTGTTGTAAGCTGTGTTCAAAGTTAACGGTTCCATTAAACGATTAGGCAAATATTTTTCAATCAAATGAAGCAATTTTTAAAATTATAAAATTATTATTATATTTATAACATAAACTGCAAGTGAACGAGTTTCATTTTTTATCAAACATAACAAAAACTGCTTATAATGCAGAACAAGTATTTTAAAGGAATTACCTTAAAAACATTCTATGGCGTTTTAAA